GACTATCATTGTTTTCAAATGAGAAGCACTTTTGACAATGTTTGGTAGAATAACTTTAAAGTGTTTTTGGATTATAAAAACACTCAAGAAGCACACTTCCAAATGATTTGCCATAAAGTACTTGAATTTTCAATAGGATTTTTGTTGCTCTTCTAGCAGAAGCGTGCACAACGATTATGCATAGAAGTGGTTCATACAAAAGTATTTCCAAACGAACCATCTAATTAGTTGAGAGTTCACAAGCAAAGACTCCACATGTCTGCAGTAAATGTGCAAAATATAGTAGAGAGCAACTTGCAATGAAATTATGTGGAATAGAAGCACTATGATTGAAAGAAAGTTTTTTCAAATACAATGGATAATCTTCTTGACTATTATGAACCCATCATGCTCAATGAGGGGGTGATTTGACCCACAAATCTACAACTTACAAACTCCCAATGGTCCAATTTAACCACTTCATTACATGGGAAGGCAATCACTAGCCCTACACCAACACCTTTATCACAATTCATAAGGGCAACCCCTTGTCGAAGAGAATAAAGAGAAATGTGATCAATGATAAGGCCGGCTAGTAAGGCCAATGACTATGAAGTAGGACTGTAGGATAGAGACTTGCATGCCGTTTTCGGATTTCAGAGCAATAATATAATTCATGCGAAAAAATTAATATGCATATATTGTATTATTGGACAAAAACATCAATAATAACGTTTGAAGAGTGTATGTAAGTACTTCCCGTGAAGTCGGTAAATCATTTGTACCCATAATTATGATATTGTAATCCATTTGCCCTACCTCTATATCAAGCACTTTCTGCCAGATTCTGCCGTCCTACCATTGCAGAAATTCTTATTTTTTTGGTTGGTACTTTTGCAAGTGGTTGAATTATATATAAAAACAAAGACCATAACGTGAGATATTTGCACTGTTGGAAATTTTCTAGTGATAAGATATGCTCATGTGGTTTTGGAATTTGTAGGTTGCCGAGAAAAATTGAAGAGGATAAACATGTCCAAGTAGTAATTTCTGCACTTCGTGGGCTATATATTCACCAAGGAAGCATCCTTTTCTTCCTGTCTAGCTTACTACAATAGGCAACACCAAATACTTTCATCAACTTTTCAAGATTATGTAATTGTAATTGTATAGCCAAGTCAATCCAGTCCAGTCCCTTACCATCCATTGTAGCTAAGCTCGAGGTGGTAAAAGGACTAAAATACAACAACTCGACGGTAAATTCATGCATAAGTGACATTTTGAGAAGTTCTCGTGCATCCTCTTCTTTTTATTTGATGAGAAAAAAAATGGTTTTCGTGCATTCCATTTGAAACTCTTTTTTTATTCCCATTGCCTAACGAACAAGCAACAGGGACTTTGAAACCATGAACATGGAGTTGGAACCAAGAGGGAAGAAGGAGGTAGAGAGAGATGACATGGAAGAAGACACGATAGTTCAATCCGAGGGGCCGATTGGGACTATCCTTCCGTGGACAGAGCAGTTAACAGTCCGGGGAGTCGTCGCGAGCATAGTGATTGGAACGGTGTACAGTGTGATAGCCATGAAGCTAAACCTCACAACTGGGATTGTTCCTAATCTCAATGTCTCCGCTGCTCTCCTCGCCTTCGTGTTCATCCGAACGTGGACGAACCTGCTCAAGAAGGCGGGATTCAAATCAAAACCCTTCACTCGGCAGGAGAATACTATGATTCAGACTTGTGCTGTTGCTTGTTATAGTATTGCTGTGGGAGGTACTTTTTGTTTTTCTTATGTGTTATATTAATTTTTAATTAATGTTTCTTAAACATTATTTAATTTTGTACTTTTTTGGATAAACAGGTGGATTTGCATCTTATTTGTTGGGATTAAACAAGAAGACATATGAGCTCTCAGGTGTGAACACAGAAGGAAACTCTGCAACTGCTGTTAAGGAACCTGCGCTTGGTTGGATGACTGGCTTCCTTTTTCTAGTCTGCTTTGTTGGCCTTTTTGTCTTGATTCCTCTAAGAAAGGTATTGATCTTCTACTCTTTTGTTTCTTGCTCTTTTCTCGTTTTTATACGAGCAATATAGGGAAGGGATTCAAACTCAGGACTTCCGGCTCAGGGTCGTTGTTCTAAAAATTCCCTCTAAACGTTAGGTGGTTGATCACCACCTGGTTAGTTTCTAGGCGTTTGAAAATTAAGAAGGGACACCTAATCCGTCTAGGCACCCGCTTAAGTCGCGATTCTCACCTAAACAGAAAATAAATAACTTGAATTTTGCATTTTATTTTTTCTATAAATTGTAAGAGACTTGTTGAATACCTAGATAAACACTTATTATATACTCGTTCCTTATGTTTTGAATATGTTTTAATACTTTGTAATGTATATTCCATTTTATTTTGCAACTTACGTATAACAATACAATTATGTATGCATTTAAATATAAGTAGGCATTTATTTATATATTTACTTGAGGAGTAGCACCTTTATCCGGCGTTCAACAAGCGCCTTTTAAAACCGTGCTCAAAGTAAATAATGTTAATCACTTGAGGATTCGAACTCAAAATCTCTAGCTCAGGATAAATGATATTAATCACTTGAGTTGCAAGCTCCTTGCCATCTTCAGTTACTCGTTCGATGAGACGGAGATAAATATTGTTTCTTTTTCCTTTAAAGTAGATTTTCATATGGAGTTTTTGTTTTTTCTTTTTACAGATTATGATAGTTGACTTGAAATTGACTTATCCAAGTGGTTTGGCAACTGCGGTTCTCATCAATGGCTTCCACACTCAGGGAGATGAGATGGCCAAGTAAACATCAGCCAACACCTCTCTTCATCACTCCTTTGAAATCCATATTTATGTGTGTATATATAATATATATATATATATGCATAAATATGTTTAACTCGGGTGCATAAGGAAGAGCACATTTGCTTTAACTAATGTGGCTACGCCCAGTTTTGCTCTTAAAGCGCCCCATTAGAATCAAAACTCAGCCAAAGCTATGACGATTTGCAGGAAGCAAGTGCACGGATTCATGAAGTATTTTTCAGTCAGCTTCCTGTGGGGATTTTTCAAGTGGTTTTACAGTGCCACAGAAGAGTGCGGATTCTCGCAGTTTCCGACATTCGGATTGCAAGCGTGGAAGAATACGTACGAATTTTTTATCACTCAATCGTTTCACTTTCCCTGCTTCTGGTTCTTGTTACTAATCCTTCATAATTTGCTGCTATCAAAATGCAGATTCTATTTCGATTTTAGCATGACTTTTGTGGGAGCAGGCATGATATGCTCCCATCTGGTAAACCTGTCTTTGCTTCTCGGATCCGTGCTCTCCTTCGGGGTAATGTGGCCGCTCATTGGCCGGCTTAAAGGACACTGGTTCTCGGAGAGTTTAGACGAATACGACATGAAGAGTTTATACGGTTACAAGGTTTTCCTCTCGGTTTCCCTAATCCTCGGCGACGGGATTTACAACTTCATCAAGATTCTGGCTTGCACCATTGTTAATATTCATGTCAGATTGAAGAACAAGAATCTCCCATTGGGTAATAGAATCAGCCTCTGAATTTCCTTTTGTTTCATGCTGCTGCTGTGTTGTTTTAGTTATAGTTTTTGCTAATCAACTTCTTCTCCCTGCAGATGTCGAGGGCAAGGCGAAGCCGATTGAAGAAAAACAGAACGAAATCTTCCTCAGCGAAAACATCCCTACGTGGGTTGCAGTCGCCGGATACGTTGTCTTTTCAATCATATCGATAATCGTCATCCCGATGATGTTCCCGGAGCTTAAATGGTATTATGTTATAGTAGCCTACATGCTTGCTCCGTCTCTTGCGTTCTGCAATGCTTACGGAGCTGGTCTAACCGATATAAACATGGCTTATAACTACGGAAAAGTTGCCCTCTTCGTGCTAGCAGCAATGACGGGAAAAGAACACGGTGTGGTGGCAGGGCTTGCCGGGTGCGGTCTCATCAAATCGGTGGTTTCCGTGGCATGTATTCTGATGCAAGATCTCAAGACAGCCCATCTAACTTTCACCTCTCCTAGGGCAATGTTTGTGAGCCAAGCCATTGGCACATTACTAGGCTGTGTGACAGCTCCTCTCAGCTTCTTCCTATTCTACAAGGCATTCGATGTGGGAAACCCGCACGGAGAATTCAAAGCTCCGTACGCCTTGATCTACAGAAACATGGCGATTCTAGGCGTTCAAGGCTTCTCGGCGCTGCCTCAGCATTGCCTACAGCTCTGCTACGGCTTTTTCGCCTTCGCGGTGTTAGTTAACCTAGTCAGAGACTTTTCGCCTAAGATTGGAAAATGGATGCCACTTCCGATGGTCATGGGCGTTCCCTTTCTGGTCGGGGCATACTTTGCCATAGACATGTGCATTGGGAGTCTGATTGTGTTTGTATGGCACAAGCTTAACAGCAAGAAGGCCGTGCTGATGGTTCCCGCGGTTGCTTCCGGATTGATTTGCGGTGAAGGGTTGTGGACTCTTCCCGCTTCCATTCTTGCTCTGGCCAAAGTAAAACCCCCAATGTGCATGAAATTTTTGGGTTCCTAGAGTGAAAAGGCGCATATATATATATATATATATATATATATATATATTTAGTAGACGGAAGAATGGTAGCAAGTTGTGTCCGATCCTAAACAATAAAAATTTCTTCTTGGTGGGTGATTCACCACCGCTTGAGCAAATATTTCTGCATTTTTACTTTTGCTGGATAAATCAGAGAGAGAGAGAGAGAGAGAGTACGTTATGCGAGGGGAAAACCGAAGAAATACGAGGTAAAACTTAAGTATTCGGTATGACAACGTATACGCGCTCTTTAGCGTGAGGAAGCTCAGCCGGATCCAGCCCAGGCGGATGGCGGTCTGAGGTCAGTTTTGAGATGAGAATGAGATGCAGACATCAAACACATAGATGTTCAAAAGAGATGAAAAAAGAAGTGCAAATGCTAGTTTTCTTTGAGCTTTCTGGAAGATAGAAACAGCAACCAGGTCCACTAATGAAAATAATCTGACTATGCAGAGAAAATTTGTATTTGATCGTGTCAAAAAAATTTATGATATACAGAGTTTATTCGAACAAGTCATTCTCGATCGGAAAATTATACATCACTCGAAACAAAATAAGGAACTGACGATACATTAAATCAGCCTGTTACAATACCTGCCAGAACATCACTCTTACCCCGCGCATAGATAGTGTAAACTAGACGGATTGCATCAAGCCATCCATCAAGGGATTCCCACGAATCGGCAACCTGGAGGTAGAATGTTGGCATTAGAATCGGGTTTTAGAATATAAATGCAATGTTTTTAGTCCACTTCTCATGCACTTGACAGACCACCGAAAAAATTCTATGATTTGATGCCCATCACAAAGAACCGAAGAACTTCTCTATGTATAAAGAATTTTTATCTGTTGCCAAGGGCATTCCTTACCAGATAGATGGGTCCGTGAATTGTATTGATGCAGAGGCCAGCACCAGGTGGTAAAGTCAGATCACCACATGCTGAAACAGAAACGATATCGGGAACGTCAACTTTTATAGCTGCTTCCACTGATCTACTTGAGATGCCTTGGGGTACATGCTTTTGCTCATTTTTGCTAACCTGCTGAAAGGAAGTAGATGAACAGAAATAACACAAGTAAGTAACAAACAGATAAAGAATATACTTGGCACAAGCAAGGAAAGTTACTATAACTAATTCAGTTATCGAATGTGCAGATAATTTTTCTTCGCTTGATATACACTAAAACGATAAAGAATTACCTGTTGAAGCCCTTCATTATTCAAAACAAACTCCGATCGTTTCCAATCACTATGAGGTGCAATTGGTTTTCCCGCTGGTGGTGCAGTAAGATATCCAACTTTAAGATATGGTAAAGGAAGCTGTGAAGATTAGAAATTATCATGTCAGCAAACCAAAAAAATAATCTCTCAACCAACGAGATTAAGCAGACATCAAGGTCTGACCACTGAAAGAATTGGGAAAATTAAGTCTTGAAGATCAGGGAAAAATCAGGAACGCGCATCATGTATGGCTCTGTCATAAGGACCACTTCTCAATGGAGAACCAGTAGAGACCCGACCCCATAACTGACCAAAAATATTTATACAGAAGCCTAAAGGGTTTACTGAAGTTGGTATTAGTTCTTAACTTCTTACCATGGATCGCACGAGCCGCAAGGCACTACTGTAAACCTGTAAATAATTAATCACACAAAAACTTAGCATACACAATCAAAGTGAATATCCTTAAACCTTAAAGGAAAAATAAAACCAACTACATTTTACGTCTCTCTCACTGAAGGGCTATCCTTTTCTCCATATAAATATCAAATCAAATTGGTTGAGAAAGAAAACTATGGGAACCTTACATTGTAATTTGGTTTCAAAGCATGAGCAGCTGCAATGTAGATAGCCGATTGACTATACAACTCATTAGGTGAAACTTCTTTGGGGTGTCCAGATCCCCCAGTTCTTAGTGTGTCCTCAGCCAATCCGTACTGCAAGTAAGAAAAAGACCAAGGTTTGGTAATTAAAGTTACGGGGGATTATTAGATAAGAGAACCAGTGGTTTCTTGTTATCCAGTATAGAGGAAACTGAGAGTCCATTTAAATTATGAATGGAGTATCACATTATCCTAAAATTATTAAGATAAGTAACAAACTAACCAATACGGTTCCAAGATTGTAAATTGCTCGATGGAAATCAAACTGCAACTGAATAGCTGCACGGAACTGCACCAGAAGAAAATGACATGAGTCATGACAGTATAAATGAGAAACAAACACTTCAAAGATGAAAATAATATTCTGGTTTCCCATCCACATTTATCCAATCATTCTGATATCTCCAAAAAATTATTATATGGTACCTTACTTATTGCAGATCTTACAATTGTTTGCTTTTCCCGTGCAGGAACAATCGCGCTGAGTTCCTAAATTGCATAATTGATTAAAAAAAAATCAATTTGGAGTTCATGACATGGAACATAATTATATGCCGAGCGAGAAGAAAATTTAAAAAGATTTTATTTCTTCTAAAATAAGTTAAATTAAAATAAAATACTAATGCAATTTAAGATACCTGCAGAGCAAGTCCCCAATTGTTAAGTGCCTGGAATATATGACACGGATTTAGTAATAGGATACAAAGGAGACAATGCAAATAAGTGCATTCTTCCCGGATTTCATAATCTGTTTCTCTTCATAATTGTATAAAACATTGGTTTTCGCAGGATATCATAAGAAATAGGAATAGCCTAATACAACAATTTACTGAGTCATACCTGGGGACTGTTCCAGTTGAGCAGCACTGCTTTTTCGTAATTTTTTGTAGCCTGCAAATCAAATCAAGGGGTGGTAAAAATCACTTCATTTATTCGAAATTATGTTTTTCTTTAGGGATTAAAAATCCAGTTGGTTATGATTCGGCGAGGAATAAATGAAAACTATCGCCACTTGATGCCAGCACCACCACATCTAAGGAGCAGCAAAATTGATTTAAGAAGCAAACTCCTAGTTTCCTAAACCTCCAAAAGCCAAAGGCCTAGTTTTTTCCAAAAGAATAAACTAAAGAGTATCAAATTGCTCATGTTTCTATGCTATTATATCTTGAATATTAAAAAGTCATATCCAACTTCCAAGCGTCAGAATCCAGCTGCCACGTGTAAGAGTTGCCACAACAGCCGCAGCAGGAGATTAACAAGAGTAGCAACTTTTTTAAGACATGGAAACAGAAAGTAACTTCTATCTTGCAAGGCTGAAGCACTGAATTATGGTTTAACCTGCTTCCATAGTTCTTCAGCTTCCTTTGTACGACCACGCATTTTTGCCCGATCAGAGATAGCAATAGCCCAATTATAGAAAGCCTGGAAAGTAAAAGTCAAGCATTATTTTCACTCTCACACAAGTGAGATAACCAATCAGAAATTATAGAAAGATCATCTACACACATACATACACCTTCAGAATAACTCTAACATGGCACTTTCAAGATTACTAAGTTCACTAGCTATTTGATGAGATTATATTGTAGAAGGATATGCAAACATACATCATGAAGTGTTGGGCACAGACGGGTAGCCTCATCATACTTTCTGCAAGCCTCCTCAAGCAAAGCATCTTTAGAAGGATTAGTAGAATCTGGACTAACATTATCTGCACTTTCCTGCATCCCAAACGAGGATTATTTAGATAGTAAATTCACACTGGTTCACCTAAGGGGATGACAAAATGTCCTTTAAAACAAAAATTTCAAGTGACGTCATGTTATTTAATCATTTAGAGAGAAGTTGAAACAACTAAAGGCACATAACTGGAGGAGAGAACTAACATAATGAAGATACTTATACCCTTATTCATTCCACAGAAATGACCCAATTGGAAAACGTTGGCTAATGTAGAATGGTACTTTAGCTTAGTAAACAACACATAAGGGTAGACCAAGTTTCAGTGAGCATATTATTCTTACTACCATGTGTTGTGAGTTGGCTCATCAAAATACAAAGGCCAAATAGGTTTAGGTTTCCAATTGGAGTTTGGAAAGGAGAAAAGGAATGTGCACAGGTTATCTCCCATAAGAATAGGGAAATAGGTTTTTCTTTGTAATCCCAATCAGTGTAGGATTAGAAAATAAGTTAGTTTTCCCAATTCTAAGAGAATTTAGGAATCCTATACTTGTAAGGCATGTAAATATTGGTGTATGTGCTATAAATAGGCTTGTTGGGGCTGATTTATTAACGCGAACAGCAGAGACAATACAAGGTAGAGAGCCAAGAGTGAAAGAGATCTAAAGAAAGGTTTTGGGGTTTAGCATAAGGGCTTTCAATAAGTTCTTGTAATCTAGTTGTTATTCTCCATAGTGCAAGTGATTTCTCAAGAGAGATCACACAAGGAGTAGGCAAAGTTCGCCAAACCTCGCTAAATTTTTTATGTTTGTGTGTGGTGTGTTTACTAAACTGTTGATATATTCGCATGGCATCATCTTATAAGTTTGCTTAACACCAGAGACTATCGATAAACATGATCAACTAAGGGGGATTAAAACCAACACCTTGTGCCTCCAAACCCATAGAAAATAACACCATTCTCACAATTGCATCGAAAGGAAATAGTTAAATTCACAGAAAGCCGTCTAGTTGAAATTTGATAAGCAAAAACCATAACTAAATGCAACCAAAGATCGAGCAGGAGAGTATCTCAAACCTGAAGAACCAGCGCCCAATTGTAAAGTGCATCATAATCATGTGGGTTTCTTTCTATTGCACTAGCATACCTACAAAATATATGTACAAATAAGAATTCCGGCAAAGCAAGACACCTAAAAGACATTGTGCGGTTGCATACATCGCAAAGTACCGTAAAAGAAACAAAGAAAGGAGAAGTATGATCATGAACGTTACAAAGAACTCAAACTTTGTTTCAGTAGTAAAATATAGGATTATACTATTACCTACAAGCTGACAAGTAAGAAGGAAAGACAAAGAAGACAGTACCTCTTGGCAGCAAAAGTAAGAACCCGTTGGCGAGACCGACCGTCATCATCGGTACCAGTGACACTGTTGATCAACTCCATTGCAGCAATGTTCTGCTCTGAGTGTTGCTCTTGTGGGCTTTCTTCACTGATACAATTCAATCCACAAATCGCCAAATAAATTGTCAAAAAATGGTTAACAACGTATTAAGGTGATCCACAACAATGACCATACAAAACTTACATTTTTTCGGTCCTCAAAACAAATTTGATCCATGACTAAAACTGATAACTTTTGTCGAAAAAAGTAACATGCAAATCGACCTACCCAATTTAAAGTTACAACTTTTAACATTAACCACTACAATGACCATACAAAACTACATTTTTACCACCCCAAACACAAATTTCATTCACTAACAAATTGATCCACACCTAAAACAGATCAATTTCGTCGAAATCAACGACATTCAAATCCATCTTAACCAATTCAAAGTTCATAATTCTATCATCCTTTGTGAATTCCAGTTTTCGAAAACCCGAAAGTGGGAACTGCAGGAAAAAATCACCAATTGGACTAATTCTCCACACTGAACCAAAATTCAAGCACAACAAACAGAATTTTGTACAATTACATTACCAAAAAACCAAAATTTAAAATCAAATGAAGGAATGAGAACCTGTAACTGTAAGGGGAGCTGGAATCATTAGCGACCTCGTTTGATTGGTCATTTTTCAAGCCACTAAGCAGCTCCCTCATCGTGAATGTACGGCTTCCTTCGTCTTTCTTCAGCTCCGGATGCGCAACTCCCTGGCCGTGTGATTGGATCGAGGCTTCGATCACTTCATTCACCTTCGGATCCGCGCCATCGGCCACCACCAGTTCATGTTCGGGTAGGGGTTCCGGTCTAACTTCGGCCTCCGTCACTGGCTCGGGTTTAGCTTCGGGTTCGGGCACCGGTTCCGGTTTAATTTCGGGTTCCGGCGCCGGTGCTGGTTCAGCTTCGAGTTCAGGCGCTGGCTCCGGTTTAGCTTCAGGCTCTGGCACTAGTTCTGATTCGGATTCGGGTTTCGGATTTGTTGTCTGGTCTAGTTCAAGTCCGTTCTGAGCGGGGGGTTGTTCGGCGGTGGACATTGCGGGAGATCGGAGGAGGGATCGGAATTCGAGGAGGGATCGGAATTCGGAGAGTGATCCGACTGTGAAGTAACAGAGACGTTGGAGAGAGAGAGAGAGAGAGAAATGCTCGTTCTTCAAAGTTACAGACTTTGAGGAAAATAAACTGAAAATATTAAGCGGTCGTACGGAGCCCGGAGGGGTTAATTAATGTAACCAAGTCATGAACGTACTGTTAACACAGTAAAAATTTCACTTCAAAAAAAAAAAAAAAAAAAAAAAACACAGTAAAAAATGGTTTGGTAGGTTAAAACATTTTTTCTTCCAACAATTGTGGATGCCTAAATGATCTCGATCATTGCGTTTAACCATACATTTTAACTTTCGTATGTAGCATTCTTTTATTATGTATGTCTTTTTATAAATGACGTTGTTAGGTTGTCCTACTAAAAATTTTATCCGAATAAATTATCAACTCGAAATTTGAAGTATATTCCGAGTATCTATGGATTTTATTGGCACATGCAAGGTTGCAGCATTGCTTGTACTTGACCTTTACCTTAAGATGTTGCATACCATGGGAGAGCGAATTGTAAAAGCTTCCTTCAATTGCATACGAAATTAGGTTAACTTTGGAATAACATAAAATGTGAAGGTGTGATTTTCGCAGGTTGTTTCGATCACTTAGTGAAAGTAATATATAAAGGAATCAGAAATTAGTAACTTATGATAATGGATTAAGGAATCTTAGATTAGGAGAAGGCTAATTGTGGGAGAATGATCTCCTTATAGTTGTGGAGAGTCCCATTTTTCGCCTGCGGTCAATGTGAAATTGTAAGAACTTTATTTTGATGTTGACACGTGTTAGTGTTGCAATTAACCTCTTGATTGGAGATAAATTCACATGCTTCAATAGGGATGCCTCAAAACGAACCCTTCAGCGGGTCTCTAAAGGTATAAAATTGACACGAGCTAGACAGTTTTCTGGATTGGTGTATAGTACAAAGTACAAACAGCATATAAGAAGAAAAAAGAAAGCTCCAACTACATCTACACGTCCATGAATAAAATGTTGGATTGAACCATGAGAGGTAGAAGAAGATGGCACTTTTACTAGAGAATCTATCTTGTAACCAATTGTATTCCCTTGTGTGACTGTCTATCTCCCTCATCACATCATCGTGTGATGAGAGAAATAGATCGATAGATAGATAGACACAAGGACTATATAATCAGGCTGAGATTAATCTCCCCGTAACACGGTACCATTTAAATGTCATGTATTGCCACCAAAAATACAATTTACTCAAAAGACGGGAGAAAGTTCATTCATAAATCAGTGTCAGGTTGTTGATCTGAGTTACTAAATCTGCATTGCTGCCACAGCCACTCTGAAAAGCAAGAGAGTGCGGGCAATACATTATATACTAAATCCATAATTTACTAAAATCCAGAAATTGCCCATCAGATGCTCGTTTCAAGCAAGTGTGAAACTCACCTCAACATCCCTTGCTATCAAAGGGATCCTCGCCAGGTGAAACAAAAATAAGGAAACGTAAAAGAATAGAATCGGGGGACGGGCAAGAAAGCAAAAGAAGAGAAGGAAAAAGACCAATGCCCAGCATTACCATTGGGTGTTTCTAAACCTTGTCATGAAGAGTCACCACCAAGTCATGGGCATCATCTAAAAGCTTCCACACATCCAGACGGCCCGCCATGCTATTGCACTCCCTCATGATCTCTTCCATGCTGCTGTACTTCTCTATTATAGTCTTCCTTCTTTGTAGCACACAGGCCGCTATGGCATAGAGCAAGAGATCATCGGTAGGAGGGGCTCTTTGCCTAATCCTTCCCCAAGCAGACTTGGCGATCCCCACCCTGACTGCTGCCTGATCTGCCCACATTACCTCCCAGAGGCAAAGCGTATCCTCAAAGCTCAACTCTCTCCTGAACAGAACCACCACCATTCTGTACACAAAAAAGCAATCCTCCGCTTGAAGCTTCTCCAGGTGTTTGTAGAGAGGAACATCTTTGCACTTTATAATCTTCGAGACAAGGCCAAGTTGCCTCCGGATTCCTGCCTCATCCAGTCGAAAATTATGCCGTGCCTTTTTCATAAAACCCACAAAGCACCAGAAGGCTTCATGGTCCTCTTCCACCACTGAGATAATAGGACTGAGTAGATCACTCATCCCCTGGCAGTACCCAATCTCAGGATCATACAGAGCATAGGCTTCCAGGATTCCAACCAGGCGAGAGGCATGAAAAATCCTGCATGGCTCCAAGTGATCATAATCCTTTAACCCGACACTTTCGGCTAGTCTTTGTGCCTTGATCTCTGACACATCAGCCTGTGATGGTGAGTAAATAATCCATTCATCATTTGCGCGCACAGCATCAAGGCGGATGATCTTCTGCCATGTGGCAAAATCTTCTGCTGAGTGGACTTTGGGCTTGTTTTCTATATTGGAGGGAGAAGAGCTCTCCTTAGCCTTGTCATCAACATAATTTTCTTCAGTAACATCAGTGGATAGTAATGGTCGAGTGATATCAGATTCTTCAGAGGAATCAGAATCAGTTGATTCCGTATCGGCAGCATAGGGATCTTCACAGGTTACTCCACTTTTCTCACCATCTGCTTCAAGTGATTCAGAAGTCTGGACAGCTTGATTGCCTATAGGGTTATCTGGATCCTTGGGTAATTGGTTTCCACACTCAGTTGAAATGGATTTCCTGGCACTTGTAACATCCCCTTGATCAAAACAATCTAAAACTTGACTAAAATCCCCGCTGCCCTCAGTGCTACTGTTACCAGAAGTTTCCTTCAACTTCAAGCTCTTATCACTTTGTGTTAAAATTCTCCAGCACTGTCTCCGTAAGTTTTCATATTCTTTTCTGCATTGCAAGTGATAAAGAAAGTATGAACAATGTGAAGAAGAAAAACATGCCAATATACAAAAAATGAGAGAGATATGGAGCCGTGACAAGGAATATGCCGTACAAAATTTATGTACTAATCACAAATGCATACAACATACAGGAGAAGGGCAAAAAACTAAAAGACAATACCTATTCTGTTTTTTGACAGAGTCTCTTTCTTCCTTGGAACTGTTCACATCATAGCTGTTGGGAAAGAGCAAATCAATGTCAAATCAGCCAGTACCAAAATCCACAGGCAAACCTTTTTCAGAACAAAAAAAGGGCACAAAAGCACTTTATAAGTGCATATTTCTTGCGAGACTACAAGGCAACCGAGATGAGGTTCCATATTTCATTATGCCAAACCAGAATCAAAGGTCCAAACTTCGCCTACAGATGCAAATTAGGCTGGAAAAATAATGAAAAAGAAAATAGGAAGAAAAATTCCTCATCTTAATTTAACACCATGCACTCAGATGCCAGTTCCCATGTTAATCAAGGCTAAAACATCCATAAAAACAGAACATACAAATGCATGGGGGTCCAGGTTTTAATAATTGTTGGAACTTAAACAAACACATTTAGGTTTTTCATCCCTCCCCATTGTACCAAATCATAGCCACTAGGAAAATCACACAGGATGTACATAATGAAACCAAAGAAAAAAATTGAACAAAATGTGCATGTATTCCAACGCACTCGGAAAACACAGTGCCAAGGCATACCAGAAAAGACTAAAAGTACATCTGGGCTTTGGATGAAAAATTCATCATAATTCATAGCAGACACCTGCAAGGCTCACCGAACCAAGCATTCCCCAGGACCAGGCAACCAAACAGTCGTCACTTTAACAAGAAGTTCTTAGAATTTTGAAATCATATACTAACTAATTTTCATATAACACATTCAAAACTTGGAGCATTAAAGCAATCACATAGATATGAAAATACTTACACTCCAAGAAGAAACGGCCACACTTCAGCTCGAATACTTGGATCAACACCCTGCATCAGAAAGTAAGTGATTAATACCCAACAGCTGTAAAACATACATCAAATACAAAGTCAATTCCATGGAAAATAGAAAAATAGGTCTGACAGAAGTCAAGAACATACTCCGCTGCGAACTTTCTTTAAAAACTTGAGACCCCCATCAGTGAGTTTCCCATCTGGTGTAAATAAACTTTTCCATTGTTTGGGTAGAAGGGCATGTTTTTTTCTCCTACGGGACCAAGGTGATTTAAGACTGCCCCTGAAGAAAGAGACAAATAGAAGTGATCAGACTTCACTGCACGACGTATAAGTAAAACAAACATAACTAATAATCCAAAGTGGTATACAAAAGACACGAAGATCTCCAGAAAGAACAATGTGCAATTCACCTATAAAAATAAGGTCCGCTACGAAAGGACAGAGAACCATTGCCACCAAAGTAGAGAGAATTTTTGTGGACAGTGCAAGGTTTATGACTAAACAGGAAACCCATAAAGCACTTTTATTGTAAATCAGAGACAAATGCGTACTAGTAACCGAACTTCTAAATTTGTGGCAAGAAAAGCCTACTCAAACCCGATTTCATTTCCGACATTCCACAACTAATGCGTACTAGTAACGGGACAATTCAATCTAACCAATATAGAAAAGCAAGGAAGCAATAATCAGAATCTGAATCCTACAGGAGAGGAGTAAAGGAAGACTAGGAATAAGTACTTGAACAGGACAGTTTTCGACACGAATCAATTGGATACTTCTAGATCGAGCTCCAGGATTACATCTCAAATTTAAAAAATATGAGAAAAACCCCATCTGGGTGCTTAGAAAATGTGGAATCTCAGCTTTTCTTCCTGTTCATACAATTTCTAAGTAACCAAGTAGACTTGAAGGGACAAAATTTAAGGAAGAACAAGAACAGTGAAAACTCACCGATCAGTGGAAACTGGTGTGGAAGACGAGGAAGCAACTACTAACAAAACCGATCGCAAATGAATCCATGACGACGACGACGGTGAAGATGTGGAATTTGACGACGGTGACGGTGAAGATGTTGAATTTGACGACGGTGACGGTGAAGATGTGGAATTTGACGGTGGAGGTGGATTAGAAGAAGTGTGACTCCGCCGTAGGGCTTTCATTGGTTGTTTCTGATGCGTAATCATCTATGTGTGTTTTTGTCTACCTATCAATCTATCTAGCTATTGAAAAATCTAGGATTTTGCTCTCACAACGAATTAGGGACTTACTTCGATTTCGATTCAGTAATTTTTTGGGGAATTTTTGTATTGCTTTACCAACGAGAGTAGACGACTGTGGCGGCCAAGGCGATACCGGCCATGGCCGTGACGGCGACGGCTAAGCCGACATTGGAGGAAGCAGTCCACGACCAGAAGCCGCTTCCGCCACCGACGCTGCCGCCGATGTGCCAGCCGCTTCTCCCTCCACCACCACCGCCACCGCCGCCGGTGCTAGCCTCCGCGAACACGATCCATTTCCAACCATCAGCTCCCCCGCCGAAGAGCATCAATGAAAAAACTCACCCTCAATTCCAATGAGCCCCTTCTCCAATCACCCGTCCTCCCGTCGCCAATTAGGGTTCTTCGCCTTCAGGTCTAAATCACCATTACCGAACTGAAAACCCTCGGCACTCTCTCTCTCTCCCTCCTTCTCAAGCTTTCTCTGTCTAAACTGCCTTTGTTTTTTTCTTTGTTTTTGAGATTTCGCTCTCTTTCAATGAAAGGCATGAATTATAGAAATTTAAAATTAAACAAAAAAAAATTCATAATTTATTTTATTTTTTATTTGCGATATTAATATCCATGCATCTCTCCCCTCTCTCTACAGTCTCCATCTTGGTATGCGAATCTCTTTCTCTCTCCTCTCTGTGAGTGTGAGGGAGAGAGGGACTGGAAAAGTAGATCGAAGACTTGGAGGGTCGGAATGTCGGAGTGCGCTGCAATGGCGGGGAAATTAGTATTGGTCCAGCCCAATTTGGCCCAATTTTACTTTATTAGGCCATCTATATTGGGGAGGGCCGCTAAAGGTCGCAAAGCGACAAAGTGGTTTGATTTGCTCAAAAATTTATCTTCCACTAATGGTTGAGCATGGAGTCATTAAAGTTTTTTTGGCCAAATGAGCATCAAGCTAGCTAAATATAGCTCATTTTTTAGCCTTTTCTAAATTCCAATTTCTCAATTGCAATAGTTAATTCAAATTCAACGGCAAGATTTGAAAACATTTAACGATAGTTTAATTAAATCAAGTTAATTAACCAATAAATTTAAGAGAACTTTAACGAAAATTTAAGAGAACTTTAACGAAAAGCTTCTAGTACTGTTCACTTTAACGAAAAATCACATTTTTACACTAAAAAGTCAATCATGGTACTATTCATTTTACCCTTTATTTTGTCCTTATCGTTAAAACTCAAAGTTTTCAAACCATTTTCATTAGTCTTCCTTAAATTTAAAGTATCAACTTAAAACTAATAAATTATTGAGGGAGCTATGTTTAGCTTTCCAATTGAAAATAATATATGAGCATTGCCTGACCCTATTTATTTAAAAATAATTTTTTGCAATGCAATAATTCTATATGGGGCTATATTTAGCCATTTCATTAGAAGATGACCTTACAATATTGGTGTGCGAGAAAAATAATAATCAGCCTTATGATGCGTCAGTAAATTGAGCAAATTTAACATTTTGTTCAAGGAGAAACAAATGATGTAATAGTAAATACTATTTTTACCACTTTGATCACTAAAATTTGATAAAAACTTATCAAAATCCTCTTGTTGAAGTATTAATCTATAGATTTCATTCCGATGCAGTGTTGGTGTCTCGTATTTATAGAGCGGTCGACTCACCAATTATATTCCAAGGCACTTTGTACAAATTGTTTTGACCAGCAGCCATTTCATCATAGCATGCAGTGGCGGATTTAGGAATCGAAGCTTGAGGGTCTTAGTGTTAAATACAAGTCTTTAAGATAGAAATGGAACGGGAAGAGCACAAAAAAAGTCTTAGTTTATTCACTGGGACATTTCGTCGAACACTTAATGGGCTTATTATCATCAATTAAATCATATTGCGCACTTGTTAACAGATATAGACATATGTCCATGCAATCTAATGAGTAATATAAAGATAATTTTTCAAGTTCTATCGACGCAACCTGTCGAGATATGCCTAGCAGAAATTGCATCAAATATTTGATAGGCACGAAAAAAATCTATAATAAACATTTGAAAAATTCTCGTAAAATCTTCACATATATATTTTTCGAACTTTGAATGATACTGAAACTACTTTGGTCCCATTGTCCATCCATGGCTGTAAAAAGTGAGTTACTTCCATAAGCATGTGCAAAAGTTAAAAGACAAGTTGGGATTATTATTTATTATTATTGTAATTATAATTAAGTGGGATTATAGAAGATGGAATTAGCTCACATGGCACACAATTTAGAAATAGAAAATCGATGTGGGATTTTAATTATCTATTGGTGTAAACTTATGGGTGCACATTTTGTAGAGACAATGGGGAGACAAAAGCACTCAAGTGTTGCCGGACCACATGCCTCCGTTCAGTTTCTTAAAGTATCACATAAATCATGGGATGTCACAATGGAGTTTCCTCATTTATTTTCGACTTTATTAGACATTGCAATAATAAATATATTATTAGTTTTTTACTATATAGATTCGAACTAGGGACATATTTCGATATAAGAAAGAAAAGAACGAACATAACAAAAGATGTTTATACATTTTAGTATGTACCTTGAATTAACATTAGTTGCGTGATGCGAACTTCATTCAGTTTGTATTTGGAATTGCCGCTTTGGTATTTGTTACTTCATATGCACACTAGGGAACTGATGGAGCTTATAAAATCATTTGTTATTTGATGCCGGTCTTTAACGTGTAATATATACTTGTAGGTTTAGAATCAGCTCAACTAATTTATACAATCAGTTACTTCAATATCGTGTTTAATTACAAGTTCACTTACCAAACTCTTCTTACGATCTTGGTATTAGTCTTTGCTCTTTTGTAATGACAATTGATTACATGCTTCCTTGATATTATATATATACTCTTGAAATATTTTATTTTTTGCTTAAACTAATTTAGTAATTTATAATTTGGAATTGGATTTTCTCCTGACCAACACATAAAAGCCATTGGATGAAAATCCAACAGCTACAATTATTATAACTTTTAGAGGGCTCTCTATTTGTAGTCGTTGGATCAAAATTCAACAGTCCTTATGTATTGGTTAGGAGGCTTCTGAGCCCAAACTAAGAAGAGGATCTAATTCTGTATAATTTAATAACACCAGTTGGCTGATCTATTTTATATCCCTGGACAAAGGATAGGCCGGTTTTATTAAAAAATAATAATAATAATAATAATAGGTAGGCCGGTGGGAAAGTACACAAACTAATAAGAGAAATTAGTTTTTTAACAAAAAAAAATAATTGAAATGATTTTGTAAACAAAAAATAATAGAAAGTGGTGTTCTATTCACTCTTTTTCTTCACACATTCTTTTAATTTTTCATCGTCAAATCAAATAGATTAAAAAAATAAAATGATAGAATTTTAACAATGAGTATGTGAGAAATAAAAAAAGTGTGTAGATAGTAAATTTCTAATGGAAATGATAAAAAAATTGGGCGTCTGGGATTCTGCCACTTGGAGGGTTCAGGATGATGCTACGAGTGACCAAGGGTCCAGATTACAATGACCAAATTCATGATCAACAAAAGGCCCCGCTTGTAAGTTTTGTGGTGGGACCCACATTGAACCATCAAGTCTTTTGTTGGGACACACAGATGAGAGATTCTGAGACAACCACCGACTCGCTTTAGGCTTTAAGTTAGGTGGTTGTTCCAAGAATATCAGACTGGGTAGATTTTGATCCATCCCCTTTCAATTTTTTTTTTTTTTTACTTTTAATCTTTTTCTTCATGTGGAGTAGCATGGACTTGTAAATAAGTAACATAATGCATGGTTTTAATTAAGTAGGGTAACACGATTTTGTAAGTTTGTAATTGAAAAGAGTATCAAAGTGATTTTGATTATGTGATTGTGAGGAAGTCAGATTAGTAAAGTGTATTAGTATATGAATAATCGTTTGGAGTATGGAGATGCATTAAACGCGTCATAAGCCATTTAGATCATTATGATACACCAATCACTATAAGCGAGTAGCAAATCAAACTCTTGACTATATACATGTGAAAATAGAGGACTCTATCGATTCTTGACCATGAACATGTTTATGAAATATGTTATGTGAAATTAAACTGATCCAACCAGTGATTATAAAATTTACTTCATGCGTAACTCGTAACTCATAAGAGTCAAATCATGAGCTTGAACATTCAGATTTCAAACTGTCACAAACGCAGCCGAGTTTATCTTATATGTAAGAAAATGTATAAGCGATTACATGTATTTAGAGTCCATTGTAAAATTACGATTGTGCTAGAGACACTTAACCAAATCCAAAATTTAAGCAAAACATAGGTAGCTAATTTTGAGAAGAAAAAAATGTGAGTAATTGGCCAAAAAAATTGCTTTGAAAATATGATTTTTGTGATTAATCATGATAGTAGGGAAAGTGTAGATTTAAAAAGGATAAAAAGGAGAGATCTTGTGAGACAAGAAAGCACCAAAGTTTGGTGCATGTGGTGGGAATTTGGTTGATGTTCATAGCCCAAAACTAAAGCCATTGATTCCGAACCCACTATCATCACTACCCCTTTTCTTTGGGAAGATTTTACATGTTAGGTTTCTTGGCGAAAATCTTCTTTGACTTTTTTCTTTTAGAACCGATAGATTCTTCCTTATCTTCATTTTTCACTAGCATATACCCCATACTTTGTGCGTGAAAATAATTTTGATTTTGATTTTAAAATGAGAACGAGAAAGGGAGAAAAAAAGGAATGTGGATTAGAGAGAGAAGTTTTCTTTTTTATATTTTATTGTTCAAAATTAGAGGGTGTTATGATCACCCTTGAGTGAGGCTTTGAATAAAAAGGTAAAATACAGTTTGTGTGAATTTACTTTATTGCCCATGATTTTGTTTTGTGGTTGAAGATAAAATTGTCTTTTTACCCTCTTTTGGTTGGCAAAGAGGGTTTTAATATAGTTTAGATTATATGGAATCGATTTTTATAAAGGAAGACGATAAACACGCTCTTTTTAACGTTTTACATATTTTTGTTTGATGTTGTTCATTGTTTTTGTTTGATTTTTTTCTATCCAATAGTCATAAATCAAAAGAAGTTTGTGAAAAGTTAAAACGGTGTGCGGAATCATATCTCTGTATTAATAACAAGTATGATACCTAATATTATTGCTTTATGTGTGGTTTAGTGCAACCCCACTTCTACAAGTAAGACAAACCAACATATAGAACTAATTTTGGCAAAAAAAAAAAAAACCATAATAGAACTAAATTAAGGCTTATTTTTAGTTACGCCCTTAAACTCGATTTTGATCTGATTTTGCCTACTGTAACTCAAAAGTCACCATTTTAATTTCTTAAACTCAAAATTTGTTCTACTTTGACTTGTGAGCTCTCTCTCTTAACAACGTTTATAGATTACGAAAGAACTTGTTAGTGCTTTCAGTAGAAGCATCTAGTTTCTTCAATAAATCCTTCTAGATAGTTTTTCAAAAAAAAAAAAAAAAAAAAAAAATCTTGAATAATCGTGCTTCTATCAAAATCGCTTTCAAGCATAAGTGCTTTTTGCGCATGCATTTTCAAGCCGGAACCGAAGGTATGCAGGACAAATTGAGAGGATTGAAAAAACAACCCAAGTCCAAGGGCACTTGGACCCGGTGTAGGTCCATTAACAACAAAAACCCAAATGCTTTATTGGGTCCATGCAAATAACAAGACAACCCAAAACCCAAATTTTAACTTGATCCGCAACCTTCGGTGCTCTCTCACTCGCAGAAATTCAGAATCCCTCTTCTCCGCCACCACCACATTTTCGCTCCGCCGTCTCAGTTTCCCGCGAAGCCACCGCCCAGGAGCAGCCCCAAGTTTACCACTTCAACGTCCGAACTTCTCTTAGGTAATTTCACGCTCACGCTCACTATCATATTTAATTTCTGTTTTTTTGATTTTCTGAATCCAATTTTACATTTTGTTGCCGATTTAAGGGTTTTTTTTTTTTTTTTTGGTGGTTTTTGTGATTTGATTCAGATTAAGATTATATTAAGATAAGAAGAATAATAATAATTACTCAGCGGCCATGGCTACTGACTGGGGTTGAGATGGGGACTTTGTCTTCCGTGTTTAAATAGTTGGGAAGCGAATTTAAGTTTCAAAATTTTGAATTATTGATTTGAATAATATTTGACGTTGCTTGAATGGAAAGAATGTTAAAGATCAACTCTGGACCTTGATTTTAATTAATCCTCACTTGGGTTTTATTTCCTGAGCTGTTTCGATACTTAATATGTCCAATTTTATACATATTTATATCATTTTTTGTAAAACAGTTTTCTTGGCACTTGAAAACATAGCGAAATTGCAAAATTCTGCGAATGCATATCCACCCTTTTGGCTAAGTTAGCTAAAATCTTGGTTATATGTTTTGAATTACATTTGGTGGATTGAATCCGGAATCATTTCCTTCGTTTGGATTGGGACTAGGTTTTGCAAGAAGCAGAAGAAGTATGGCTTTGACAAACTTCATACTCACAGTTGCTGGTGTAGGCGCGGTGGTTCTTATGCTGAGGAGTGATGTCAGGCAATCAGCTTCCATCTTCAAGCGCAATGTCAAACACATCCGCACCTGGCTTGAGGAAGAATCCCCCAAGTAATCCTCTTCTCATTCTTTTTTTCGTTTTGTTTTTCTGTAAAATATGTTCACTATGAAATTGTAAGTGTCCAAGTAGGTACTCAATTTAGTCAAAATTTAATTTGGCAGTTCATTTGAATTCTATATGTTTCTTGAAAATGGTTCAGCTTAACCGTGTGTCACTCTTAACATGGATAAGTGTAACGTTCAGCAGATTGCTGCATCTGATATGCTTTATATTTAGATTTTGGATGAAGATTTATGATGTTATCATGAACCGTTTTCGTTTGTTTTGTCTTGATGTTGGAAAAGAGGAAGGTTTAGTAAGTTAGCAAGTAATGGTGTGAAAATTGATCTCCCGTGTGAGAGATGTTAGTTTGGTGGGGGTTTGAAGGGTTTGCTTTTTGAAGCCTTAGATGTACTGTATTACTTAAATGACTAGGCATCTTTAAAATGATACTATCTCCATTGCCTTTTCTCTTTTATCTTAGCCTTTCAGTATTACTATTACTCTAGTCTCGATCTTTTGGCTGGAGTAGGGCATTAGTTTCTGTAATTTGGAATCAGCCCTCAAATAGAAGGGCAGATCATAAAAGACTTTCATTTATCGTATTACTTGGTTCTATTTTTTGTGTCCATGGTTTTTAAGATAAACCAAGAATGGTTTGTTATCAAACACTGGTGCAGTGTACAAATCATTGGCCAGCCAAACCTGGACAGTGGACATTGATGATTGCGTAGGGATATTTTTTAAGTGATCTTGAGGACTTGATGAATTGTGATATGCCGTTTTATGTTTATTATCATGGAAATAATGTACTCTGCTTTCGTATATTTTTGTTAGTGGTCTTGCATCTTAATACGACTTCATGGATTTTCTCTCAGAGTCACCAAGGAACTGGAATCAAAGGTTCCACCAAAGGATATTCCCAAGGACAAGCACTAGTGTTGATACCAGCTTCTTATGTTGTTCGCAACAAGTGACTACTCGGTTCTCTCTCTCTTCTAAGGAAAAGTTTATTATGTGATGGCGTTTCCTTAGGAATAAATCTTGACCTCGATTTTCTGTTCATAAAATGTCTTATCTTGTTTATCGTAATTGATTTTTGGTCTTTAGATACACATAAGTAACTATTGACTGCGGAGAAAGCTATAGTTTGTTAATCGGAGGTTTCATGTTCGTATCTGTGTATTTTTGTAGCTAGTAACACTCAAAGATGCCGCAGTTGTGACTTGACCAAGATATTCAGGTACGGAATATCCACTGCATAAGATCATCGAACCTTGTCAAGTTTTGTGTGGTTCTACTCCAAACTTCTACCTAAATTTCAGCACTGAATGCTCTACGCTTGGCAAAATTTTACCTATTTTTGCATCTCTGGTCAAAATTCATTCAAACAAATTGACACCTAAAAGTTTTCTCAACTTCTATTCACCAGCAGAAGAAATTCTTCCATCCGAAACCTGGAGGTGGTAGTCCAAGGTGCGACGGACACATGGTCCAGATGCCCGACCTAAGACTTTCTCCACCAGCAGATATTACCAAAATGAGAAAAGTACAATAGGTAGATAGGTAGATTCAGAAGTGGCCAATAATTGGTAAAGTGTGTTATAAGAGAACACGAGTACGATTTTGGCAGCGTTAGTTTGGCAAGAAAACATGCCCCCGTTGGTTATAGATGGTATATGAGTGGCCTGATGCTGTTCATATAAAAATAATTTTTTACATAACTATAATTCGAGACGATACTATATATAGCTTTTTTCGGTTTGAGATAATATGAAATAACTCCTAAAATTTGTTAGGATCAGCCGCAGGTAAGCACATATGTTGTTGACCTACGTGCACGAAACCCATTGACGCCTAGCACTCGAAACATCATTTGAGATGTATTCGAGCCGTGAGGTATAGACTTTGGTATCCTATAGATCAACTTTTAGATGTAGTCAAGTATAATCATCTAACACGCCAAACCATGTGAAACCGTGGCAAAGTCTTTACCGTCCCTTTTTAGAAACACTAAATTAATGGTAACCGGTAAGCACAACATATATACATGAGCAAAAACTAACTGTTCTTTACCTAAGTTGTAAGCAATTAACCCTTCTATTATTTACCAAATTATTTGGACACTTAAAATTGATAAGCTAGCTAGCACTCTCTCTACTACAAGTGAATATATTGATATTGGTGGAAATATCGATATGCAAAATTATTGAAATATTGATATCGGTTGTTTTCGATAGAAAATATGGCAATTTGCTAAAAAATGTGGAAATTTAAAATAAAACTTTAGGAAATGTCATATGGTAATTTGTTAACATTTAACCGATATGTCAGAAATATTGAAGAAATTTGTCAATTTTAATTGAAATTAAGAGTTTCTCCGAAGGGTGGATGAATACAGTGTCATCAACGTGTCTCCGACCCTTAAGTCCATTATCACCTTAAGCACGTAATCACCGTACCGACCAATGACACAAGCTCAATGTCCATTTGGTGAACAACCCACCTCCCTCTCCGAACCCTAATTCTGTTCAACTTCCATCTAACAACTTTGAAGCCCTCTCCCATCTATTAATTCAACCCAACAAACTAAAAGCTCCAAACCTTCAAACCCTCCTTCCAAACACTCTGAAAAATATCAAAGATTTACTCGCGACACTCCTCCAACGATGGCTAGTGGCAAGCAAATTGTTGGTGAAGACAAGCAGCGTGCCGGGGCGGAGATCGTGTACGGCCCCGAAGATTGCTACCGGCAGTCCATAGACCTACTGGAAGAGCTAGGGTTTCCCAAAGGCGTCCTCCCCTTGCAGGACCTCGTGGAGTGCGGGAGGGTCAGAGAAACTGGGTTCGTGTGGATGAAGCAGAAGCAACCCTACGAGCACTTCTTTGAGGGGTCCAACACGCGTGTCAGCTACGCAATTGAGGTGACTGGGTACGTGGAGAAGTGCAGGATGAAGAAGATGACAGGGATCAAGAGCAAGCAGGTTTTTCTTTGGGTCCCGATATCTGAGATGAGCGTTGAGGATCCGGCGGGGAAGAAGATCGTTTTCAAGACTCCGATGGGGATCGGGAAGTCTTTTCCGGTGACTGCGTTCATGACGGAGGAGGAGAAGCAAAAGTATTTGGAGAAGGTTAGCGAATGAAATTAAGGAAACTAATTGAGGTTTTTCAGATGAATTTGTGGGGGTCAGTTAATTATATGGTTAAATAACTATTTATGGGGCACTATTGTTTTTAATTTTTTATTATGTTATGTTATGTTTTTAATTTTATTTAATAAAAAGAATGACAATTGGTGACAAGTCACATCCACCAACACATGAAGATTTATAAAAAATTAACAGAACATTAAAATTAAAATTTCATTTTACCAAATTAACTACAATACATACATGTATTTAATAAAATTGTCATATAATTATTATATTGTTGTAGGCATAATTTACTGAACAATTATGGATGTCATATAAAGAGAGAGAGTGCAGTAATAGTAGAGAGAAAGAGAGATGTGTAATTGTGAGGTATGTTTGATTCACCCCACTGTGCCTTTATTTATAGTAGTAGAAATGGTAAAACCTTTCTCTTTAGGATTACAACATTTAATAGGTAATCTAATCCTAATAGGAATATATAATACTTTTCCAAATTCCCTAGGATTTACAATCACATTCCTATTCTAAATATGACTGCAACACTCCTTCTTGAGTGTGTAAATACTCAACAAACCATCGCATCAGATTCTTCAGCAGATAAGGTAAAATAGTTGATGAAGTTATCGGCACAACGGGTGATCGCGAGTCTCAAATTTACTTTGAAGTATGCATTTGTAAAAACTCACAAAAACCTTGCTGAGGTAAAACCCAAGGAATGGGGAAAACTCATAGACTAAGGAGAAAAGTAAAAACAATATGCATAATGTCAAACTCATAGACTAAAACACTCGTCAAACTGGACAAAGGTACTGAACTCAACGGAGTATGATCATCCTTGGATGGGTGCCTCATTAAAACCTACTTAGGTAGCAAAAACCTAGTGGGAAAAATGCTCCTAATCGTAGAGAAAAACAGTACATTAAGATCATGTGAGTATGTTTCAAGATATTTCCCCTGAGTTAGACATAACTTCTAAATAAGAGAACTATAAGCGATTCAACTCAGATAATTTACGCATACGGATTCCTTGGACGAGCTTCTGAAGTGTAGACTTGGGTAATGACTTGGTGATGAGATTGGCCAAGTTGTGTTGTGAACGGATTGCATGACTTCAATCTCTTGATGCTTTGCTGATGTAGATGTAGGTGCAATATGTCTTAACGTTGACTTCGTTGATGTATCATGGCTTGGTCGGGTTGATACATGGATCATCGTTGGGACTTAACGATGGATGAAAACACAGCAAGTACTTCGAAATTTTCAACAAGAACTCTTAACCATGTTTCACTTGTGGCGTAGTGAAGTGATGTGAGTCTTAAAACAATGCGAAGATTTCGCAACTAAGGTCATATCGTCGACTTCCAAGATATTACGATATCCTTAACGATAAAGACATAGCCATTTGGGGATTTTGCCTTGTTTGGGTTTGATAAACAACCAGCGTCAGCATAACAAACAAGGCAATCATCATTTCGAGGATCAGGGGGGTTGGATTTGCTTGAGATGCGATGGGATTTGCCCTCATAATACCTTTAGGGTACGTCTTTAATACCAAATCAGTGGTTGCGTGTAAGGGCGGTGCTGCATCTTTACCAAGATCAATAGCGAAGGAGATGTCTTGTCTAAATACAATGTGCTAAGTACAACAAAGCGCAAAGTTGAACTCAGATATGGAATTTCGGATTCCATAACCTCTTCAAGGGTCTTATTTGCATATAACGTATGGACGATCAAAGGTATACTTAAAGGTAACACATTCGGGGTGTAGTTTGACTGGTAGACCAAAATATCGTCAGAACAATGCTTCAACTTCAGGTTAAGGCATAAAAGAGATTTCCCAAGATCTTTCATCTCAAATTCCATCTTCAGGTGCGATGCAGTTTTCTCAAGCTCTTCTGGAGTCTTAGTGAGATTCGTGTCAATGACACAAATTGTAACTCTAGAAATTTGGAATAAGACTTCATAGTTAAACACGTAAGGGCATAATTCATATTCCTGACTGATCAAATAATCACATAGATGGGTATACCACATTCGTCAGATTTTTCAATCCATAAGTGAATGCCTCAAAACAAGTTAAAAGGGTGTTCCGTGGTTTTGGAACTATTTGAAACAGTCCATGTAATTCTTTGAGAACTTACATGTAAATCTCCGTATCTATATCCCCATGGAGAAAACACTAACCACATTTCATAATGTTGCTATCAATCACAAGACGTTTGAGAGAAACCTTGCGCCGTAAGGAGTGCATCATATCGTACTATTTCATTCATCTCATAGCGTTTCATTTCTCACTTGTAACACAACAGGGTTACCTTGGGCAGTGTAGGAACGACAGGTCCAATACACACTTTGGTAAGGAATTTGACCTGGATTGTAACTTTAGTTGTCCAATCAGTTCTACGTTGTCACTTAATCAACGGAACACGGTTTGATATCGTCGTTTTTTATTTATGCTGGTAGCTAGCATATAAGTGAAAACATCATCGATGATAATCTCATTTCAATTCCATTTAGCTCATCCAAACTAGTATACTGGATCAAGAACTTTAAATCTTGGGAGAAATCTGGATTAATCTCATGAGATGGAAATGATTTAAGATAGCGATCGAGTTTAGATTCATTGTTGTGCCGTGTCTTCCTCTTCTAGGGAAGTGAATTAAACGAACCAAGTGATCTGTCGTGCTCCAAGTCAAGGCAAATTGATTGGTTATTTGCTGGTGTACCGGACTGTCCAACAAAAACGTCCAAACCGTCCAACAAGGGCAACACATCCTTCAGGGATGCTGACTCGACGTTTGTTAAGTACATCTATCTTTGCAGGCATGTTTGCAGTTGGTATATAATCTCGTCACTTTAGCTAGATTAGAGGAATGCATCTGGAGCAACGTTCTGAAAATTAGAATTCATCGCACTTGCTTATCACATTTGTGCGGTATGGGATCGAGATGAGACATAGAGGGCAACGTCCACGCAACTTCGCGCCATTCTACAGGAACATTGACGTTCTTATCTCCCCCTTATGGCGTGAATACTGTCTCATTAAAGTGACAACCCGTAAATGAGCGGTAAAGAGATCGCATGCAAGGGCTCAAAGAGAGCTAGTGTGAAGGAGAATCATGATCGACAAAAGATACACATCCTTCTTTGAGGACCCATGGTGGTACGTTGCGGCGGCGTAACTTGGCACATGGAATGCACACCCAAATGCGTAAATACGAAAATCTTCAGGTTCGTACCCAGTAACCAACTGTAACGTCATATAGGTTGGGTGGCAATGGGCCCCAAGGCAGACCAACATAACTGCGTACAAGAATTGCATAGCCCTAGGTAGAAACCGAAAACTTGGTATATTCACCAAAATTCGAGCGATCATTTGAATTGCGCTTTATGATCACCAGGCAAGGCTATTTTGGGTGAATATGGGAATTCGATGTTCAATTAGAAACCCAAAACGACATGTAATACTTTATCGAAAACCGTCGATGTAAATTCTCTGGCATTATTCAATCTCCCAGACCTTAAAGGATAAGTAGGGTGGTGAACCCATAATCGGCCAAGAGGTTTAGCAGTAATGTGTGTGGACAAACATGTGACCTAGTTTGTCGATTCATCAACTAAAACCATAAATATTTATATGGTCCGCATTTTGGTTGGATTAGTCCACATATATTCCCTTGAATCCACTGTGAAAAGAGAGTCGTGTCGTATCTTTGTGAGGAATGATATAGAAAATCAAATTTCCTAATGAGCATGCTTCGCAAAGTGTGCTCGTAGGCACAATATCCTTACTTCAAATAAGGAGATGCATTGTATCATCATTGTTCGACCTAAGTGTCCTAAAAGGTCGTGCCAAAGTAAGTAAACTACTCAATCACCCGGCTCTAGGATGGCCATAAGTGATGTATTCCCAATTGGAAGACAACCCATTGGCCCTAAATCAAAGCTTCAAGCTCATTTTTGGAGGTGGTGCAAATATATTTCACTCTATTTTCTTCAATGGTTTCATTTATGATCATTGTCATCTCGAATATCCTTAAAAACTCAACGTTAGGGAGAATTTAAGGTCTCTTAAATGGTAATTCAGTATCATTCATAAACGAGGAGCGTGCAAATGCTCTTAATCTGGTTGGATAGACATGAAGTCGTTGTTAGAGATGTGATTTAGGTGTAAAGTTAGTGTGCATAGTACGCATTCATCCAGACAACTAACTTTCCCACATTCCAACCTAATCACGTGTTTAATTGAATCGTACACATATATTAAGAAACATGATTCAATTAACTCATATTCGAGGACAATATCAATAAGATTATCCATAAGTAAAACATACACCAAGCTTGAATCCAAGAACATGGAAAAATGTTCACAAAGTAAATGGTTTAGTAAGGGGATTCGGCAAACAAGGCCATCCATGTCGAAATTCTGCTCTTCCAACGGTGTTTGGTGGAGCAAAAATTAGTCTCACATATTGACTACTAGAATGGTACTCCTTAACAACATTGGTAGGGGCACGAATATATGCATAACCAATGATCTATTCCATCAAGACGGAAGAAGATTTTGCAGGGTTAAGGTTCGGGAATATTATCCCTTATTCTTGAAGTTTTAGGTCTTAGGTGCCAAAGATCACGCTTCGGGCATGATGCCACATCTTGGCAGACCTTGATTCTACCATATGTTGTAAAAACAAACTCGAAATTGTATTGTGAAAGAGTATGTCATTCAGTGTATCCCTGCTAAAGCAGTGCATCACCATTTGGTAGGCTTTGACCAAATTGGGTCGAGCCATTCAATAGACTCTAGCCAAACTGGGTCCATAACTTTCTCTCACATTTGTGGTAGTAATCAGATCCGAGAATGTGGTAAACTTCCGATTTCTACACTATTGCTTCAAGGGCGAGTTAGAAATATGGAAGGATGAGAAAAATATTTTCCAGACAAAATTCGATCGGATTTATAAATTTCAGAATTGTACTCATTCATGGACGTAATCATGGTGTGCTTCGGGCAATATGTCGCATGATCACATGGTCCGTAGGAGCGAGCCAAAGAGCCATGGAATCCTCGTTTGAGAGGTATCTCCATTGATAATGCTTCGGGCATAAGTCTTCGAATGAAGATCATAGCGGATGCTTATTCAGCTCTTCCTTGCCATTGTTAGC